GAAGGTGGAAGGATCCCGGACGAGCCCCCAGTTGTGCTGAAAATCTCGCTGAACTGAATGTCCAAAAAGGAGACAGAGGAGTCCTAAACCTTTATTCGAATAAAGGGAGAGGCCACTGGGCATATCCCTGTGGGGTCTCTCAAATTGCTGGGGGACGCAGGCCCCCTTTTATCCTAATTTCTCAAGCGCGGGACGCCCTCTCCTTTTCCCCATTGGCCAAGGTACTCAGAAGTTACAGCCTTCCCAGGCCGCCTACACCAAACTCCGGCCTCCCGCCATCTGTTCTCACCTGAGCTCACCAACTCCTTTGTCCCCCTTGCTGAAGAATGTGGGGGAATTCCCCTATTTCCCTCCTTTGTAAAGGCCCCCATCTCCTTGCAGATGACTTTTTTTGTCCCACTCGCTCATGGCTCCACTCAGTCTCCCCTCCCTTTGTCCTGCTCTTCAGCCAAACTGTGGAGAAACCCCCTTATTGATGAATACAGAAACTTGAGCATTCCGCTCACAGGCAACAACCTCCACCCTCCACAACTGCAGCTTTTTGCATAATCTGCATTACTGGGGAACGGTGCTGAAGATCTGGATGATAGTTGCAGGGGAGGGCTCCACTCCACCCCAACCAGGCCCTGCCGTGAGGCCACCAAACACCCGGCTGGGGCCAGTCACAGTTGTGGCTGGAGGTGTCACCTCCAGGGGGCTGCTGCAGTTCACAGGAGAGCACCAGGGCAACGTAGCAAAGGGAGCAATTTTAAAGAGCATCTTCAGCATTCTGCTTGGATGGCAAATGCCCTCAAGCCAACTGCACCTAAACCTAGCACCGAACAGCATTTACATCAAGAACGAGCTACCTGCATCATGCAGCCAAGTGGAGCTATTGGCAACGACAGATGTGAGACAAGAGGAACAAGCACCGGGGGAGGCCTGAACTGGGTCCAGCTGGCGCTGACTGCTGCCAGGCCCAGGGGGTGAAGAGCTCTGGGGATTTTTTACAACACTTGACAATACACCAAAAAACATACCGAGTGCCTCCTGCTCGGTTATAAATCGATGGAATTCAAAAACGCACGTGTCCCTTTGCAAGTCAGACATGAGAGGGAGTGAGCAGGGCACTTCTGGCTGTCGCTGCATTCATCAAGATCTTTTTCATTCAGGGATTCGTTCTCAAGTGGCAACAGAGAACCTCATTCCGAGCACAGGGTTGAGGAAGCCGCCATTTTTGTGCCCTCTGGAGTTCTGTCAGCTCTGGGCAGGTTTCGGTGCTCAAAAGCAGTGATCAAAACAGCTTTTGTGACCACAGTATGATCTCACCAGCATTGGGTCCCAGAGAGAAACTTGTCACAGCTAAGAACCACACACACCTCTGTTGGATTTAATCCAACAAAATCATTTTATTTGATTGGGCAAATCCAGTTACATATGGACTCTGGAATTGCCTGGCAAATACCACCTGTATGATCAGTCAGTTTCCCAATCAGCCAAGTACCTGCTCCTACCACAGCACAGCTCCAAGCACCTGGTTCAAAGTCACTGAGAAGTTAATTGCACAGTTATCTGATCCATCTAGAATGAAAGCAACCTACTAGTGCAGTCCACAAACCCCTTTTTTTCCTCCCTTTAATGCTGCTGCTCAGAGCCTCTTCAACAACAGACATGCAGGATTGCTGTGGGTTGTTCAGTTCTTCTTCTTAGGGTCTGCACAGCAAAACCAACAACCAGAACATTTGGCAGCCAAAAAAAAAGAGAAAATCAAGGCAACCTTTGAGAGCGCCTTCCCAGCACGTGTCGGCTCTGCCGGGCTTGGAGCTGTCAGCCACTTGCTGCTCAGGCTGGCCCCGCAGTGAAGGAGCTTGGCACGGAGCAGCTGGGCCTCCCACCACAAGAGCCAAAGCACATGGGAACGGAGGCACGATGCAAATCTCTGTGCTTAGCCTATGGATCGTTCAGCTGCCTGCACAGCTTGGAGAAGGACAAAAACACAGCTCAACAGGGTTCTATTTTCAATTATGTGAAAATATATGTGTATAAAAATAAATAAAAATGGCTGCTGTCAGTACAAATGGGATTTAGCTATCAGTCACAAAGGTCAGGCTCTCTTCTGCGTGCCGGCCTGCTCTCCTGTGCTGTTTGCCTGGCAATCTGAATTTGGGAGATTTTTGCGCTGTCTTATTTGTACATCTTCATCCTGAAGGAAAAAAAAGAAAAAGCACAAACTCATTCTTCAGCCTCCGCCCCGAGCTGGGTAAAATCTGCCCTCCTGTCCCCCACTGCTTTTCTGCCCACCAGCTGTTACCTATCGAACATCAGCTCAAAGTCTTTTAATGCAGCCAGGAAAGTGAATGGCTGCAACCATCACTCAGCTCCCTGCTCAAAACACCAAAGTCACTTTACATCCTCACATTGGCAATTACCCCAGCCAGGCATCTTCCAAACTGCTCCCATTGGGAAGCTCTTCTCATCCAACAAAACCAGCTGCTTCAGCTTTTAATCATGCTGGCTGCTCCAGCCAGAATAAGGAACTCAGGGAGCAGCCCTCTGAAGCGTTGCGTCTGAGGTCATGGGCAATGCCCAGAGAGCTGGGGCCATCCAGCACAGTTTTTCCTCCATATGGGCCTGAGTTCCCACAAAATCACAGAACTATCTTGGTATGAAGGGACTTCTGGAGGCCTCTGATAAGATCTCCTGCTCAAGGGGGACTAATGCTAGTGCTGGATGAGGTTGTTCAGGGCCTTATCCACTTAGCTTTTGAATAACTGCAAGGATGGAGTTTCCACAACCTCTCAGGACACCTATTCCAGTATTTAACCAGGCATGTCATACAGTATTTTCTCCACATATCCAGGCAGAATTTTGCAAGTTGTACCTGTCACCTCTTGTCCTTTTCCTGTGCACTCCTGAGAAAAGCCTCCCTCTATCTTCCCTACTCAGACAGCAGGCAGAAGGCAGCCCCATCCCTGCCTCCCATAGCCGAACAGCCCAGTTCCCTAAGCCTCGCACTGCACCGGAGGTTCTCCAAGCCCACGAAGCCACATGGCTTTCCCAGGACATGGCCACACTTTGCCACACAAGACACCTTGTGTGCAAAGGTCAGTCAGTCCCTAGACTGCTCACCTGAACAGGGTAAGCAACATCATTTAACAGCCGAGCTGCACAACTCATTTCTGCAGAGCCCTTAGCACATGTCTCCCAGGTGCTTGCCTCAGTAACCCTTCCCAAGACTCCTCGGTCTCCTCCCCAGCCCGCACAGTTCATAGCACTCAGCGAGAACAGTTGCAGCCCAGTGCGACTCATACCGAGTCGGAGTCTTCTTCAACCTGGTTGCTGAGGAAATTAATATAATCATCCTTCTGGCTGTCCAGAATTTCTTCTTCATATTCAGTCTGGTAGTCTGACTCATCTACAAAGGGGAGAGAAAAAACAACAATTTTTAACTAGCAGTTGGAAAGGCAGAAAAAGCTGGAAACAGAATCACGACAGCCCTTACCAGCCAGGGTGAAGTGGCTGCTGGCTACCCCTCAGCAGCTCAGCAAACTGTAACGGCTTCAACACAGGTATCGGGCCAGTCTGACCACACAGATCAGCTTCCAACTGCACCTGCATGTGAAGCGGTGCCCCAGAGCCCTCCAAAGTGATAAGAACCTAGCACAAAAGCCATGAGCTACAAACTCTCCGTGTCACCATGGTGCTGCCAGCCTGACGCAGCACTAACTGCCCACCATGCACAGCATCTCATTTCAAGCACTTTGTAACAGACTGAAGGTGCAGGGTTCCCCATTTTCTTTTCCTCATTTTTGGAGGGTGAAAGATCCATATACAGCTAACAGAGGGCATGTTAAAGGGGAAACCCAACAAAAGGCTTTTTCAATGTTTGGCTGTGGAAGTGCACCCAGGTCTCAGGTGTAAGGCCAAAGGTAACAGCATATTCAGTCCTTTAGAATCACAACTTTATCAACTCCTTTACAACCAGTTGCTCCTGATGGCTCAAAAACAGAGGAGTTTTAGCGCCAGTTGTAAGGCAAGCACAACCTTAACTGCTACATAGACCTCTGGTGAAACCACTGCACTGCACTCAGGGAGATGCTACCAGCACCCCTGCCACCAACATCCCTCTCATTCTTAAATTCTCCAGCAACTCCCCAGTTTATCTTCAGCAAATTCTTGAACTCCGTTTCATGTCAACTCCGTGGTCACCAGCTGATGAACTGTGCCAGTGCAGACACCCATCCTTGGCCTTGATGTACTGTGGCAGCCACTGTGGAGGAGCCCCATCCCAAGCACGAAAGCCAGGCGCGCACGCCAGCCAAACCCAGCACGTCTCAGCTGACCACCCTTCACCTCTACTGCTTCTGCCTCTCACTTTTTCAGAATGCAACTCAGGGCATGGAAACTGCAGAAAATAATTTTAGGGCTAAACTGTGTTTTCTGGGCCCCCTTCATTCAGATCTGCTCTGAGTTGCTGAGCTTCAGAGTCCTCAGCTGCGTGGTGCCCTCTACCACTGAGGGGTCCTGAGAAGCACATACCGAACAACAAGGGTTTCATTTAAGACAGACATAGACAAGCAGCCCATGAACAGCTGCTGCAGCCCAGCAGGCCCTTACAAAGGCCAGAGGTACCTAGGAAGAATGGAACCACAGGGGCACGTGTCCATTTTAAAGCTTTTAAGAACCGTGCAGACCACTCTTAGGTTTGTTCTTAAAGGAGATCCCATAACGTGGCAGAACATGGCATCCCAACGAACACACCACACAAACTGCAGTAGACCAGACATCAAAAGGACACAGATTTGAACAAAAAACAAGGTGAAATATCTGTTTGTCAGCTCAGCAATGAAGAAATGGCTTGTGTTTAAACTGGATCCTTCATTAAGTATTTCTCTTTTTGACACACTCAATAGCATCGGCTCCATGCTGAAGACAACAGTACAGCCTGTTCTGCAGCATTTTATTCTAACACAACAACTACAACCAACTGTGAGAACATTAGCACTAAAGGCATTTGGCCATTTTCTTCTTCTGTGGTTCAGAAATTCATTGCTAGCCTTTACTAAAAGCATTACCAATAACCTGGAGAAGCTGGATACTCACCTGAACAGCAACAGGCAGCACAAATAGCAGTGGGCACTTTACACCTCCATCCAGACTTACCAAACTCAAACCCAAATATCTCGATTTTCCCAAATTGTGCTTAGCACTTAGCAGGTCTATAAACAGATCCGCTGTGAGAAGTGATGCCCCTTTGCACACCCTTCACATAGGAATCCTGGATGCTTGAGGACTAAGAGGGAAAGGAGGACACAGGGGCTTTTTTCTGCTCTCTCACACAGCCCTTCGCAAAGCACTGTGTGGGGCGAAGCCCCGAGCAGCTGCAGCCCCAGTGGACATTGCTCACCCAGGGCTTCGAGCAGGACTAAAGTCTTCGTCTTGTCTTGGCCAACATAGCAACATCCAAACACTTCAATTCAAAAATCAGCAAAACTGATTAAGCAGCTGGTGGGCAGCCCTACCGGCAAGGCTGTTGTAGGAGCAAATGGCTGTTGGTACTTACTATATTTGAAGCACTTGGGGATATGCTAGCTGCTGCCATCACAAAAAGGTGAGGTTCTTGACCTCAAAATTGCTAGCAAAGAAGGGATTATGCCATGGAAAGGAAATAAGAACCTACCATTAGTGGAGGGCGCAATATGTTCAGAGTAGGAAGATCACACTACTATTCCTCATGCAAAATAGCTGCTTTGCGATTCTGTAGCTTTTAGCATTTCTTTTCTAGCCTGATTTCTGTAGGCAACACAGCCACGGTGAGGAAAATCAGCACTGCATAGCTAAAGGATTTCCAGCTCATTAACCCCAAAAAACTCCCGTGGTACTCAGACAGTCTCGGCGTTTACCACAATCTAGGATGCATTAGTCCTTTTTAATATAATTATTTTTTAAGCAGTAAAGAGGTTGAGAGTGAGCTACCCAAAACTGTCTCTCTTGGAAAGTTCTGGGATATATCCCTCTTTGATCATATCAAGAAAATAGATATTGCACAAGATTAATGTCTTTTTCCACACCAAACGTTTGTTTCCAAGTGACTGCTGCTATAACTGCTCCGTTATATGACTTGGTAGTGGCCTTCAGTCACTGCATGCATTGAATGTGCTACCTCGCATGACACTGGGAAACCTGGCAGAGGGGACTGCCCACTACCTCATTGCTCTGGAAGACAGGAAATGAAACCTGCTGGAGGAAATCTTCCAAGAGCCTGCAAGACGTCGGCCCTCGGAAATCCCTTACCAAGGAGAACGGAGCGGGGACGAGGCTGCACCTCTGCAGGAGAATGGCATCTGTGCACTCCTGGCCAAGCCCACAGCTGCACAAAATGCAATTACAGCTGAAGGAAGAAGAAAACTCCCAGCTGAGAAAGTGTCCCGATGGGGTGGCAGCACGCGGAACCGAAACACAGCTGTGGGTCCCGCAGTCTCAGCTGTGGGAACAGAGCTCGCTCTCCCTGCACGCGCTCCTCCATGTGTTCACCTGCTGTAGGCAGGCGTGCCGGGTCTAACAGTAAATTCCTTCTGGGAAGTCCATGTACTTGACTCTGCCTGATGGATAAACCTTTTTTTCCTTCTTTTTTAAAAATATTTTTTATCATTTTGCTGAAGAACGAAGAAGAAAATCCACTAAATGGATATGGCTTCAGGTTTGGAGACTCTGCCGGTCTCTGCTCGTCAGAGTCTTTCCTCCCTTGCACTGGCATTTCCCTTCTTTGCCTGGGTTCTATAGCTTATTTGAAAACAATTTTTGCTTTTTTTTTCCTTAGAGCATGACTGATACATTTTCTCTGTCCAGCCTGCACCTCTCGAACAGGCAGAGCATTTCCAAATCTTTCGAGTCTGAGATCTCTCCTTGGAAACCTCTCCCAGAAGAAAAGTTCCATCATCTTCCTCAGCAGCGCTGTGTCATACACGGGCTGCCCAAAGCACTCTCTTCTCCCTCACACAAGTCAAAAGCAGTTGCACCATCTGCACCAACATCACTAGCAGACAAATCCAAGGGCTCCCCAACGAGGTACCACCTAAGAGCCCTAATGCCCACTGCCCGGGGAGAAGGTCACACCACATCTCAGCTAGTTATGGTGAATGCTGTTTCCCACAATAGCTGGCAAGACCTAACACTCCAGACACCTCTCTAGCAGGAGCACTGCCATCCCAGAAGCACTGCGGTGATGCTGCATCCAGACAAATGGCTTCATAGTCACTAGCCACCAAAAGAGAGCCAAGGTACTGTGTAGCTTCACCCACAATGTAAGCATAAAAGGACCTTTAAGCCACACTGCCCATACGCACAGGTCTCTTGTGGCTGTGGAGACAAAAGGATGAACAGATTTGTGAGTTGAGTGCCTGTTCTGGCCCAAATACCCAACGTGCAGACCTGCCTGAGGGCAAAACTTCCTATAGCTGCATTTGGAAAGAGGTGTCGCTGCTTTGTTGCTTATTCACATTTCATGGCCTTATCTGGCAGAAGAGAAATCGTAACAAGGGCAAATAACCAGAAACGGTAAAGTAGAAATACCTATCACTCAACACTGGTCAAATCGCAACAGGCCTTAAAGCCAAGGCTTTAAATAACCACGTTTCCTAGACTCTTTATTCTTATGCACACTGGCTGTTTCAAGCACATTTGATTAATATTTTCTTTGTAAGGCATATGATTGCAATTAGCATTTCATATTACCATAGGGACATCTCTACAAACAGAGTCACAGATGGAAGGGCTGCTAACTTTAGATTCTTCTTTGCAAGAACAAGAATCAGGAAAGCGGGGAGAGACCGGTTATAAAAAGCACCAACATGGAAAACGATGGAAGGTGACAGCCCTGCAAAGCTCTCTTTGATCCTTTCCGGGTTACAATATTTACAGGGAACTGCTTGGCAGGGCTTGCTTGAGGCGCAGAGCTCCAGGGCTTCACCAGCCTCAGAGCACAGGAGCGTGCAGAAACTCGGGAGCTGCTACCTGGTCGTCCTCATTAGCTCCCAGGAACAGGAGGGCACATAAAGCAATCAAGCTGGTGACTCACTCCAGATCACATTCAGCAGAGCAGGAAAACATCCTTCAAGTCAGGCCTCTAAATCACCCTCCTCCCATTTCTGAAGGACACAGACAAAAGGGGGAGGCCATCCTGCAAGCACTAGCAGAAGCAAGAATGACAGCTCGTCCTCAAGAGAGTTGCCCCACGTGAGTTACTATACACAAATTAGGCCAACTTGGCTAGACGTTACTCCCACCAGCAAGCCACCACAGGGCAGAGGGCAACAGATCGGCCATGGACATCTTGCCACTGTGGGGACACCCAATGGCCACCTTCTCGTGACAAGGCAGTGGGAAGAAGCGCTAGGAGGGAAGGGTCTGGCTGGGACAAGCTCAGGGCACATGTCAAAGCAGAGGCCCTGGCTGAAGAGGGAAAATGGCCCTGTCCTTCCTGCCATGGGTGCTTTTACAGCACCGGCTGTGTCGTCCCACTCACCGTCTGCCACAGGTGCTTTCACCGGCTCGATCCTGGACACGATTTCTGCCAGGTCTGTGAAAGAGGGGCTGGGGCAGGTCACGTTCTGAAACACAAGGCAGATTTTAGGCATGTTAACCAAATGGAGACAAAAAAACAAATGATTCAAGACTGCATAAAAGTGATATTGAACAGGCAGAGAGCTCCAGGCATGCGAGTCCCCCGTCATTCCTCCCCGCAAAGGCCGTTACTCCTCAGAGAGCAGCTCAGGGCAGTCGTCCTCGGCCAGGCCTGGTCTGCAGAGTTGGGGCTCTGAGCGCAGAGAGTTACTCGGGCAATATCTAATGGAGCGGCAGAGGCCACTGCTCTGTTGAGAAAACTTTTTTTAAAAGAAAATTTAGGAAGCGGTAGAGACACAGTCAGAGAAAAGGAAACAGCCTACCTGCAAAGAGAAAGCTCTCCCACTGTAATTCCTCTTTCAAACAGCCCCGTGCTATTTTTACTCTGTCTCGCCCAAGCAGTGAGCCGCGTGTTCTCTGTTTTGAAGAGCTGCCTGCTCTAGTTTCTTTTCTAATCAAATCCAACTGGGACACCAAAGCGCCAGTCTGGCCTTTCCACAAGCTAAGCGGTGACGGGGGAGCGGAGGCAGCTCTACCTGCCTCCTCAGGGCAGGCCACAAGATGGAAACCCGTCTCCCTTCGCCTTTTTTTTCCCCCAAAATCTGTGATTTTCAATGAGTGCAAGAGGACACTCCCGCAGAGGGGAAGAACCATTGGGGAGACACGTTATGGGCGCCGAATTGCCCAAGGGACTGTTCCAACAGCCGCTCTGTGAAGTGCTCCGAGCTGCCCACGCTGCCCACGTGTGTGGAAGCAGGGCACTTTCCCAACACTGCGGCTCTGAGTCACGCAGCCTGAGGCTGAAGCCCATTACAGCTGCAGCCCGCTGCTCACTGCTGACCTTTTCATCTGTAACTGACTTTTAATGTTGCTTAGCAAAGATGAAGGGTGCAGAGTGGGGACAGAGAGCTGCTGGGAGCAGGGGACAGAGAAAGAGCCAAAAGGAACTAAAAGAAAAACGTTGTCTAGAATGAAACAGCAGTAGGATGCACATTTTAAAAGATGAGAAAAGCAGGGAAGCTCGGCAGAAGGTTTGAACATTAAGGAGCTGGTGAGAAGAGTCAGTCCAACCTCATTTTGAGTACATGACCCGAATGATCCTAGCAAAACTTTTACAGAGGCTGGTTCCAGGGCAGAAAAAGAGCATCCACATCTTCATTTCTTGCTATATGGCTAAGCAAGAGACAGGTACGTGCTCGAGGAGAGACTGCAGCGTTAAGGGCAGTCACCTCGACTCCAAACCATGAGGGTTTAGAATCCTCAGGACTCCAAGTCCAGGGGGGAGGAGAGACCAGAGCACTGTATAAATTGCCCCAAAAATACCCTGTGCAGCATAGATTTAGGTGAAACCTCCTCTCAAACCTTTCTGCTGGTATTTTTTCCGAGGATGAGGAGGAGGAGAAAAAGGAGGAGGTATTCTCTTCAGCACAATCTTTATTAAAATCAGAGGAAAAAGACAGACACTACTGTAGTGTGTGAGATTATATTTAACTTTGACTGTGAATAACACTTTAATAGACAAAACTTCCCTAAGGAGATCCAATTAACAGCCCTGCATTCCTCTGCATTGGGAAGGGAGTTGTTTAAGTGAAGTCTGTTAGGTCCTGCTCCTCCTCCTAGAAACAACTAAAACACTAAAACAGACCACAGCATCAAAACTTCTGCTTGTGAAAGGCGAGTTAAAAATATCAGCTGTAATTCCTGGAAGAAAGTAGAGATAAAAGACTTAAGTGGCTAATGGACTCAGGCCAAAAAAAAAAAAAAAAAGCCAGTGGAAGCCATTTGCAAGAGCAAGTTACTTTGTAGAAATTATTCTACCAAATAAAAAACCAAAACAAACAAAAAAACACCATAAACCCTCATATTAAAAAACAAAACAAAAAAACCCATGTTTTTATTGGACTTCAGACTTTTCAGACCAATAGTAGACTTCTTAGGTCCTTGAAGTACAGTCTGGAACTCAGACTTGGCTTCAGCCTTGAGGAAGGCACACAGCTGACAGCTGCTGCTCCATTTCCAGGGCGGTTTGTCAAGCCATTCACCTGAAACCATAATTCTCATAACCTTGGTGTCTCAGCAGTCAGCACCTTTTGCCTTGTTGTCAAGTATACACCTAGAAAGGCAATGGCAAGCAATGTCTATAACAGCTACGTGACGTATTTTATCTCCAGGGTATCTAAGTGCCAGAAAAAACAGGACCGATTGTGACAGATGTTCTGCATGCCCAGCTATATCATCATGATTTAGCTGAAACATTAACCTGAATTATGAGATCCTACGTACCGGGCAGTTTTTAAAGAAATCTTCTCTAAAACGTGTGTTTGTTAACAGCAATGAAGGTGAAAAAGGTTATTATCAATTGGTGATAAAAGTTAAGAGAGTGAAAACAGGGTATATAACCATTTCTGATAGCAACACCTACCTTCCTCTCTCTCCACTGCTCTTCATGACTACTAATACACACATATAACACAAATTAGCTTATAACTGGTTTGTTATAGATCTGAGATCTAAGAGACAGAACAAGGAGGTCTCTTCTGCACACATCTTCTGAGTGCAGCTCAGACTAGTGTAACTCCTAGTCCAAGCAGTCTTCCTACTAAGAAATAACAAGCTGATGAGTTCTGGTGCTCTTTGGGCTACTCCAGTCACCAACTAAGGTCCCACAAAGCTTAGTTCCTCTGTGCTCGTCCCACACCCTGTCACATCAGCTTGGGTAGGATTCATCTGATATAAAGGTATCAATGCCAGGCACCCTTGGCTCCCTTCAAAGTCAATGGAAGCTGAGGGTAGCACTCCCTTTACCCCAAGAGAGCCACTCCTTTTCATCAAGTGACTCATGCTCTATAAACATTCATTTCTCTCCACTGACTACTGGAAGTCTGGGGCAACTAGCTCAGGTGCAGACATCAGCTGAAGCCAACTCTACAGTTTGTTGCTGGGCTCCTCTCCAGCCCTTCTCCCCTTGCTCACACTATCTCCCAACAAAAGTGCTCAGCCACCAATCTCTCAAAAAACAGCAAATTCTCAATGTCATTTTGCGGCTCTATTGACTTTGCTTATTGAAGGTCACTACACTTATGATTTTGGCAACTATTTACAACTTAAAATCTTACTGTTAATTTCCCAAACTCTAAAAAGATGATAAAGATGAATTACTGGGTAAAACAGAAAACCTTTGTAGCACTTGAGTTTTAAATCAGAGAAATTCAAAGGAAGGTAAGGATAATGAACCAATTTATTATAATATTATACCCATGTCCTCAAAAAGGGGACAACTTCCTTAGAAAAAATTACAGTTCCCATACCCAGAAATTTTGTCACCTCATGGACAGTTACTGAACCAACTCAGGCCAACATCAGTCCTTAAACTGTAAGCCCAGGAGACACTATCCTATTTTTAAGCAGAAATATAAATGTGATTGCAACTACACAATAACTAGGTAAGCCATAAATATGCCATAATCAGTCCTTTAAGCTGAAGCAGACAGAATATATTGGAAAAGTGCATGAAATCCAGTACTTGGACAACATTGCAAGCTTCCACAGAGCCTTAATGACAGTGTTATGACGTGCCTTTTCCTAGAAAAAGGAATGAGGAAGAAAAGCAAAGAAAGAAGAACTCTAAGGCGTAACAGAGATTTTAGTTCTTGGCTGGAAACACATTTACAGGAAGGGTGCAATTCAAGTTCTCTGGAAGCATCTGAGAATTATTTGAGCCCCATTGGGCCAGTCGGTACTGGCCAAGATCAAATGCCAGAGATGCCAGTTTATGTCCTCTGTGACAACCAGGCAGTTGATGAGAGAGTTGCTGGTCTACCACCGCCTTGGTAGACCAGCATCTAGGAGCAAGAAGAATACCCAGGCACCACCAAAGCTTTGAGGTGCAAGAATAAACAACAATTTAATTCCAAAAAAAGGCTACTTGTGTCTATCCAGCACTACCCAAAGAGCCAGTGCACATGTGCATTCGTGCAGCGGGTACAAATGTGCCCCATTACCTGCAAGCACAGCCCACCCTTCCCTCTCAGGCCCTGCTGCAGATGCAAAAGGAAGCTCTTTGGCATAGTCTGTAAGGTTGAAAGGAGAGAGAGACTTACAGCTTCCTTACATCCATGGATGAACCCAAAGAGATGTTCTCTTTTGAAAAATAAGGCATGAGGAAGAGCAGCTAGAAGTGCTTAAATCTCTTCCCACTCTTCTTGTAGCTCATGATCAAAGAAGTACAGGACCTCATTCATCCAGGCTATGGTTCAAGAAGGGAAGTGGAAGTTTCTGAAAAACTGAACATGCCTTTTCCTGCCTAAAACACAGTTTTAATTAATATGTACATGCTCACAATAAAAACTTGAGGTAATCATTCCCCTTCATGGCCCTGGCCAAATGCTATGCAGTTATACAGAACGCAATTTGACTTGCACAAATCATTTTTGCATGAAGGTACATTTAAATTGAACACTTACATCAGAGGTTTTGGATTTGCAAGTTTCTTGCCTGTCTTTTAACATCTTGTCAAGGACTCCACTCCTGCACCACACATTAAATACAGTTTTTCCATGTTGGTATCCCACTTCCTAGAGGAAGACAAAACAATAAAAAAAAAGAGTCAAGGGAAAAAAAAGTAATTAGGTAATTAGCAACTAAAAAAAAAAAAGTCATTATGTCATATCACCTACAAATCAGAAGAAAATCCAGAGGTCTACCCCAAAACTTGCATGTACTTCTTGGTACCTAACAGCCTTAGCTATAAAAACTGCTCAGTCTAAGAAATAAAAGGAATGACTAAACAAGTCAGGCGCTATTTTAAGTCCAAATGCTAACTTGACCTCTGATCCCACAGTATGTAATGAAAAGTGCCACCCGACAACTATTTATTACAGCAGTGGCTTTAGACATGCTGTTCATAAAATAATGCCATACAGAAAGAATGCAAAAGTCTCTAAGCTTAGTATGTATATGTCCTCTCCATGCAGGTTCTTTCTTTAAGAAGAAGCAAGAAAGCAAATTAATTTGCCCCACTTTTTTTTTCCTCTGTTTTACTTTTTTCCCCTCCCTTTTGTGTCAAATCTAACACAGAAAAGTTAGTGTAGGGCACTCAGGTTCTAAAATCTCTTTCAATAAGTTCAGTCAGACCAGACAGCATTGAAAATCCAAGTTTTAGTTTTCCAGAACAGAGGAGATGGCATATACACAACATCAAAACCACAAACTCCATGTGCCTCTGCTTCTGAAGTCTAAATTAATTTGCACTTGCAATAAGAACATGACTCAACAGCACAAAAACAATCATTAAAAAACAAACAAACAAACAAACAAAAAACCCAACCACACAACTGCTCCAAGTTATACTCTTCTTCTAACAAGACAGCAGAAATGTCCTTGAAAAATTAAATTCTCAAAGATAGGACAACAAGGGGCCCTGGCTTCTACTTCCATTTTCTATTTTCTCCCAGTAAAAACACAGGAAGCCCAGCAACTATGGGCAACTGAGGCAGCCTTGGCAAAGCTGTTCATGCCCCTTCTCTAGCTGTTGGAACAGGACTCAAAGCACAGGGGATCCTCGGAGTGGAACTCACTTCCCTCAGGCTATCATAGCTTCTCAGTCCAAGGCGCAGATGGCATTCAACTTGGACACAGAAAGGACCCAAGAGATCTAGAACTGACTTGATGGGAATCATCCAAAATAACCAAGAGAAGCTGAGCTTCAGGGAGTGATGCATGGCCAACTTATCTCTATATAGGCAAATACAGAAGAGCGAGTTTGACAAGAAGGATGGATTCTTTTGAAAATGCTGAATTACAGCTGTAAGTCAGGAGGATCTAGAGATGTAGAGAGGCAACCATTTCTATTTTCAGGTTATATCCATATATGCAGCTGAACAAAACAAAAAATAATAATTAAAAAAAAATCACACACACCACTTGTATCCGATCATGATTAAGGATTCCCTAAAATGCCTTTTAAGAACACCAGGGTATAAAGCTTCCCTGGGCAAAGGTTATTTAGCTATTCTGTGAGCAATGAAATCCTAGGCAGATGCCACAGTACTGCAGTGTCTTGTGCCAAGAACTTGTTGAGGGAAAGTGACCTCTTCAAGAGGTTGCACTTTTCTTAAGTTCTCTTTTTCCCCACTGCTGAGGGAAATAAAAAAAAAATGCCTGGTGTCTTTAAATCTCTTTAATGACACCAGACTGGACAGAGCAATAATTTGACAGCTCGAGATGTGGTCTTCTGATGATCTCTCAGACCCATCCATTAAGGCTTTGGAGAGAGCTAGGGCACCCTCACTAGCAAAGAATATTATTTACTGAGGAAGTCTTGGATCCAGCATAGCATTTGCCCAGGAGCTACAGGACACCAAGCACCCTTGAGAAAAGCATTTATTTTGGATGGAGGTGGGGAGGGAAAAATATCAGTGGGTAGTTTGGCATAGCTGCTATTCGAAATGAAGGACTCTCCCAAATGTGAATCTGCAGGACTTAATGCTATTACTGCTTTTGTTAAGGATTCATACTGGCACGTTAGGAATCAGTATTGAGAAGGAAACCTGAAATACATTCTCTAACCTAATAAAGATTGTAGACTTTCTGTACATCCATAGCGAAGACCTGTTTAAAAAAAAATGACCCTTTTCTTCCTTTTTAACTGGATTTGAAGAATGAGAAAAGTTATGCAGAAACACCTCAACACAGAAGAGGTCTGTATTGCCAAAGCATGCACAGAATGGAAACAGACGGTAAAATAACCTCTTTAAAATCAGACAATGAGCCAAAATTGCTATTATTACCTCAAAGTGGGAAGAAATCTTTCATTTTAGAGTGCAGGATTATGTTGCTATGACACTTCAACCACACATCCAGAGTCAACTCTCCCCATGCTGATTTCTGCTACATAAACAAAACAAAATCCTCAAGACTAATAACTTGGTACTACTCTTTCTTTCATGTCCTTCCACTGACATTGGTGCTGTTTTCCTGCTAGAGTTATCAGGTGCAAAGGAATTGCGGATAATATGTTTTATTAATAGAAGTGTTTAAATGTTAACTGAGCCAGACATTTCAGCATGTTGCCCTCTACCTCAGTGGTTCATGGCTTCACATACAGGCGCCTTAAAAATCTTCCACGTGACAACAATGTGCGCAATCAGGGGTGAGAAATGACACAATGTGACAAGTTACAACTGCCCAAAGGAGCTCCAATACCAAGTGTTTGCAGTGGGCAGCTGAACTAAGCGGTAAGGATTGTCCTAAAGTCGAGTGAGGCAACTAATCCTTTCACAGGTTATTAAATAATTAACAACAACAACAAAAGAAGTTATGTTTATCTGGGCTCACAGATACCATGGTATCCCTCCATGGTATTTACTATCAGTGATTTTCTCTGTGTTAATGGACTTTTCTTACTCTCAGACTACCTGGCCACTAATTAGCAACTGAAAACAGCAGAATGTAATGGTACAGAATGTACCATGGGCAGAATGTAATGTAATGATAACGGCCTTTACCCTAGATGTACTTACACAGATTTCATCAAATTTCCCGAAGTCCAGGGTGCCGTATCGGTCAATGGGTGGCCGGATGTACTCACAGTAGTCACTGTTCTTGACCATCTCCAGCTGCCGCACACAGCACACATACGCAAGCCGCGTCTGGATCTCTGCCATGTTCAGCACCTGCCGACCAGACCAGAGAGCAATTGCAAACATTTCGGAAATTTGATTTCAAAATACGTTTTGCATTCACAATGAGAAAGAGCAATTTAGGCAGTGGATGTATTCCAAGAGCTCAGACATGCCTTCACACATCAGCACTTCCACGTGTTCCCCAGGCTGGCCAGCTACAAGACTCTATAACCAACAGCATAAAGGGAGCTGTCTTCAAATGTGTTTCTGCAGTTCAAGGTGGAACCAAGCCTTTCACTTCAGTATATAGCAGTACCACAAGAGAGATCTCTGCCTAGGCAAGAGGAGCACCATGATCTTTCAAGACAGAAATGATGATGCTCTCTACTGTACCTGGGCAGAGATCTGTCAGGGTCTTCTTCCATTTCTCAGGCCAAACACTACTATGGGCAGCGTCCAGCTCAACCACGCCAAAGAAAACAGGGAGCTTGGCAGCTGCACCAGCTCCCAAAAGGAACCTTGGCCACCACTCAGGGACACCAGGCCTTTGCAGGGAAGGAAGTGGTTACAGGAGAAACAAAGCAGAGCCCAAAGTTCATAATAATACCCCCAACTTTGGGGAGCACAAGTAAATCTGTTTTACTTGTGATTCCAACAAGGGAACATGTCAGTTGTAATTGGGAGGGAAGAGAAGCATTCACTTGGGAAAGAGGTGCAAAGATTGATAACACAGAAAACACAGAAGAATCCTTAACAGAATGGGAACGACTACATCCAACAAGGGAAGAAGCAAATAGAGAAACCTAACAACCATGTTTATTAGCAGCAGTAACAGTAATGTATTACTGCCTAGCACTAGAAGCTCTCCAGTCAACAGGTGAGGGCATAAAAACAAAAAGACACTTAATTGCACAAAGCTACAATTGTATTGATAAGATTTGTAAATGCTGTCTTTATCAAGGCTAACCACACCTGTAAAAATAGGTTTCTTTGCTCTAACAATTCTAGCACACTCTCTTTGTAGAACATCTGTCTTTTTAGTATAGTCTATTATACCTTGACTTTCTCCACCAGCGGATTCCATCTCTTCCAGAGCAGCCACCAGCCGGACAAGCAGTCTCCATAGTTGGTGAGGTCTGTCTCATCCCGGCTTCCCACATCGATCGCTATCACCACCTTTGCGCCCATGGACCTTGCAACATCAGCTGGTTGGAAGGAAAGCTGTTAACCAGGACACCTCCCAGCAGTCCTGTTCACTCTGCTGTTGCTCAGCCAAAGGCTCCATGTGGCTAAGCTCTGTATAAGCTGACCTAGCACCATAAGGCTCAATTTGAACAGCTTCAAATACAAACACCCATAGCAGCTCTCCCAAAACACCCTTTTTCCCAAGGAGGCTCCTGCCCTACTTTAACTGTGGACTTCTACCTAAAGGAGAGGCCCAAAGAAGGTGTCCCTTAGCACCAGACCTAGCCAGGAGGTAACTATGGGGTTTCATACTGGCTCACAGTGCTGGGCATCATGATGGCAAATGTTATTTACTGGGTAAACACCTCAGTATCACCAACGCAAAGCAGCAAGGCTGCATGCAGGAAGCACGGACAGGCAGGCAGGAGACACTCAGCTTGAGGCTGTAGTTGCACCAAATTATGTATAATAGGAAAGTGCACATTAAAACGCATGTTAGCCCCACCTCACGCGGCTGCACTCATGTGGGCAACAACATGGGAAACGTATAGAGAACAAGTGGCCTACAGAGGGGACACAGCAGTGCAAACACACACCATGGCAGATATGGTATCAGTGAAGAGAAGGAACAGCAAAGGAACCAGACAGCAAGGAAAGTCTCATAGAAAGACAGTCTAAGAAATTCTTTGAGATACAGGAGTGAAATTCATATTTGGAAATTGGAGAGCGATAAGATAATGCTTCCCAATCTACAGTTGGCATAGAGAGGACTAGCTGCAGCCTTTGAACAAGGGGAAGAATTCAGGTGAGTTCTAAGAAAGGGAAGAGAAGGACACAGCTCGCAGAATTAATTTAGATTTCTTCCGCACCCCCAGAGTCCAAGATAGTTGCAGGTTCCAGAATAGTTATGCGTAGGAAAACCAAAGCACTGAAGAGTCAATTTAGAGGCTTAATTTAGACAATTTAGACATGTACTTAAAACAGAACTGTTCTCTAACTCGGATTTGTATTCTTGGACTGTTTGGGACTACCGTATCTTTTCCTCCCCATTATTGCATGCATTCTTCTTGCAGGCTCAAGATATACAGGTTTAAAGGTGCCTTGGTTTGCAATTTAGACTTTTGATTATAGACAGAAACAGCAAGTGTCAAATACAGACTTTGGTTGGTTTTTTATTTTGTGTTATTTTCATTTCTGTTCCTTAGGGAAATACAGCCCTTTGGGGAAAATACAGACTGAGTTTGTGTCTGGAACATGCAAACTATCTAGATCGCTCAGATGTGGAGCATCTCCATGGATTTATACACAAATATAGTCAAACTGCACTGACACCATGTATCTCTCTATCCTAGCCATCCTGCTGATCCGCTTTCCTTCCAAGGCCTTCCGACAGCAATGACAGCCCTGCGATGGACACACCCTGGCTGTCTTGCTCTCAAGGACAAAGATTTGATTTAACAAAACCACTCGAAGCATTCACCGCTTCAGTCCTGGGGCTACATTACAATGAAAACTCAAAGCTGGACGAATAAAATAAGAATTTTAATAAGGTGCTCTCAATACCAATTTTCACTTACTTTCAGTCCTCTCCTAATAAGTGCTCGGATGTAGTTTGTCGTACTAACAAAGAAATCAGCGTGACTTAGCAAGGGTTACTACTGCTGCTTTCTCAGAATTATCTCCTACTCAGGCGATACTCTGAGAAGAAACTCAAAAATAGACTATATGTTTGTAGTTTAATTTCTGTTCTCCTTTCAGTGAGCACTAGAATAAATTCAAAGTTAGCTTGCAATTATATTTGCAGAACATGCCTACTAAGATGCTTTTTATAACAAAAATAGTCTTAATAAAGTCGCAGTAAGGCGAACACCTGGGAAACTGAGAACAACTGGCTTGCCATCATGAGATAAAACATGTCTGCAATGTTTCCCACTCTTTTTTTTTTGACAAGTAATCCTAAAGACAGATGGTTTTGCAGACAGCTTGAGCAGCTATGTTCTTGGTAGGTTCTTCCCAACCAATTTGTGCACCTACCAGGAAGGTTGTTGATGTAACCTCCATCCATGAGAAGATGCCCATCCTTGGGATCACACAGAGGGGGCATGTACCCGGAGAGAGACATGCTGGCCCGGACGTACCTCCACAGAGAGCCTGTGGCAACGAGAGGGAGGGAATGGCAAGAACAGTGATTCACCACAACAGCAATGCAGGGAGGCTTCTGGACTCACTAAAAGAATCGGGAGTTAGATGCTCTCCTGAGAATACCATTAGAAAGTTATTATAGTATTTTATTTTCTATACCATAATCCTGACTAGGAAAAAATAAAGGTTACTCAGATGCACTTTCAGAGAAAAACCTTAGGGATAAAAAAAGAGTTTTAAGCACATGCCTAATGCACACTGCCTTCAAGGAGGTTTCAGCATATGCCTGACTGCAGGGATCATTTTTAGTGCTTTCCTGAGCTTATGCTGATAAATAAAGCACGAGGTTTCCCAGGGCGGGGCGGGGGACAAAGGGATTGAAAAAGTAAGTGGACTCAAAGGTAGATAAAGCCATTATGTTTTACAAAAATCCACAGAAAAGAGGTTTTTAGCAGGAGCTGAAGATGAGAAAAAACTACTGCAGAATCCCCAAATTCTGCTTTTCCTGCTTTATAAAAAACTTTTCCACTCAGTAAAAACAGTGCAAGTACATGGTGGTTATCTTACTTCTTGGAATGTTTCTGTTAATAGCAGCGCTGAAAGGAAGAAAGTTATAATCTCAACCTGTTAGAAACAGAAGGCATAATCAATAAAAATTGATTGGATTCATTTCCGATGAAATATTTTGCTTTTCGGCTCTTATTTACAAATTTCTCTCTTTTAACATTTGCATCAGCTGAACAGGAAGACTGCACTCCTCAAAACTCTGAGAAATGCATCCAAGAAGAAAATCTTTAAAATATCAAAATTAAATAACAAATGTAGCTTGAGCTCAGCTCTCAGTAATTAACCACTGGTGCTTTAAACAACCTCTCTTGGCAGGAAACTGGAAATCACTTTTTAAAAAATACATATATAATGTTTTTCCTTCTAATTATAGCCTAAGCATTCCCATTGCTTATCAGAGGTCAATATTGGCAGGAGAATTGCTTTTTATTATTAATGGTTCTAACTGAACTTCTACCTCTCAAAAATGCTGACTTCTTCTGTGAGAGTCCCCTGACAAAACCAGACAAGTTTCCAGGATGAGAAGCAGCAGATAAAGATCACTCAGTGAAGTCTGGAGATGATAACAACCATTTTTGAGCCATTTTCTCTCTTTATTTTAAAACTTCTAAGTAAGGAAATTGTCCACAAAAATGTCACGTAAGATGTAAAAATATTTCACGTGTCTGATATCAGGCAAAAAGCGTTGGAGAAGATGACAACTCACTATGCTTCAGAGCAATCAAGCAAATCTACAGAGCTGCTTGGTGTGGAAGGAGCCCATGGGACATATGCCAGCACGGGAGCCCAGGCTCCAGTTTGGGAGCAAACTGGGATCCATGGCCATGTGTCTGGAGTTCTTCTCAGAGTCTGATGTCCAAAACCAATTAAAAACCTTCTGTACAGCATAAATGAAGCTGGGACACGTAGCTGGATTCGAGTGTTGGATCTTGATTTAAATTAGCTCAACCTGCTGTGGAAGCACAAAACAAATCCTACACAAGAGATGAATCTTTTTCTGCTTGTTCAGTTCCCTTGGTGGTCCTAAATCAAGGATGCCTATATCATTTAATGGCCCTATAGCTCACACCTTAACTGCAGGAATATATAGCCTTACCTGTGCCAGCTCAGAAGATAAAACAGAGACATGGCAGCAAAGACTTCAGCTACGCAAAGAAGTATCTGGAGCACCTGGCAGGTTTGTACTGTCTTCGCTGAAGCCTGAGTCACTGCATCATTACCCCAAAATAGCCAGCCAAAAGCTAAAGCAGGAGGTCTCACAGGGCTGCCGACACAACTCAGCATCAGTGCTGACAGTGCAGAGCTTTCTCCTTCGAGCAGTCAGTGTGAAGTAAGTTACAGTTTAAAGTTAAAAAACAAAACAAAATGAAAATGCCATACATTTTATGGTCCCATAAATACTTCTGAAGGAAAAAAAAGAGAAAAAAAGATAGGAAAAAAAAGGAAAAAAACGAAAATAGAAAAAAAGGAAAAAAGAAAAAAAGGAAAATAGAAAAAAGGAGAAAAAGAAAAAAGAAGAAAAAGAAAAAAGAAAAAAGGAAAAAAAAATGAAAAGGAAAAAAGAAAAAAAAAGGTGGACAAATACCAGATTAAACCAATCTCTGCCTCAGGCACAGGAGCCTTTATTGGGAATACATCTTCATTTATGGTGAATTTGAATGAAAAAAAAAAAAAAAACAAGGTTGCATTACTTGTGATTTATGGTCAAAAACCCTGCATTTCATAGCATGTTTTAAGAAAACAGAATGGTGTCAATGGATTCATTTGTTCTCTACACAGCAAATTCACTATCTCATTTAATTTCTTCCCAACAGCTCTGTCCTTATTACCTGTGTGCTGCCACAGTCTGGTACACAGTAAATAACAGAAAACTGAGAAAAGACAATTTTAAAGGCAAGCAAAATCATATTTCATCAACCTGCCTGCCACTGGAGAAAACGGTCTGCGCACACTTACCATCCGTGTGGACCCTCATTGTCGAAGCAGTGATGTCGGTAGTGATCGTGAAATAAGGAATCCACAGATCCTACAATAGAGGAAATCCTAGTTTTAATGATATCTGTACCTTTACTCTGAAACTAAGACCCACGTCTAACATGGGAGCTAATGCAACAACTTGTGTATCTTGACAGATAGATCTCAACTCAAATACTGCCTGTACAGACGGAGAAAACAATAGCTGTGTTTAGGTGCACAATCTTTTTCCTTATGCAAACACTTCATGCAGAACCAAGGCAGACAAAACTCATTATTTTCTTTTCTCAATAGCAAAAAATCACTCATTCCAGAACACTGTCAGAACCTCATCACTAAAGCTAGAAGTTTGCCCTTGTTCATTGTATTTGTTGTTCTTTCAGATGAGGTTTGGGGATCTGATACTTCCATCCAAAGAGATCTCTGTGTTTTTAGTGCTGGAGGACAAAGTGAAGGGAAGACTCACCTTTCAAACACTCTTTTCTTACCTCTCTTGCTAAGCACCTGCTTTCAGCTCCCCCTAGAGACAGGGCGCAAAGCTAGACAGATATTTGATCTCATCCAGTAGAGCCCTCCTTGTGTTTTATCCCATGCAGTATTTCATAGAATCCTTAAACACTTGGCCTTGTTGAATTTCATATGGTTTTTAAAAACCCTTTTTTTTTCTGGTCAAGGTGGTGTTTACCCATTACCCACAGCACATCTTTCATAACTGTAATCATCATGGATGGGCATCTGAACCCTCGCAGCCGCATGCCCTCACGCTAACACTGTAGTAGGCAGCATCTAACTTGCCTCGCTTCCTTAAACATCAGGGCTCATGACAAAAGGGGAAAAAATGTAGGTCATGACTCTTTGAGCAATGTTTTTCCAGTCTAAATGACTTTCAGATTGTTTCTTGTGGTGCTAAAGCTACTAGTGTTTTCAGCAGTAGATGCAGAACAATGCAGAGCAAAGCCCAAAGCTGACTAGGAGTCAAAGGGGCAACATGAAACTTGGCAGTGTTACCTACAGGAATAAAGGACTTCAAGCTAAATCTTCAAGATAACCCCAGGAGCTGCTAAAGATACTGCAGGGTAAAACAACAATTGGTGAGCAGTGTGGATCATCCTGATAACCAGGATGACATAGAATAAGAACGTCCTACTTAAACCTTTTGCAAGTCTATTCAACAAAAGCCCTGTTCCAGGGAGCAGAAGTTCACATTTTGGTGTCCACAACAACTGTGTGGGAGGCTGGCTTCCTGATGGCGTAAGAGACCGCTGGGGAAAGGATGGTTTTAGAAAGTGTTCATGTTGCCTAGTGAAAATGGTAGCCTGCAAGGAAGACTTGTTTGAATAAACCAAACATATACGTAGAAAACAAGAGCTGCTGAAGTAAGACCAAAAAGACAAACCTGCTTCCCCTTCCAGCCAGTCTCACTCTTTTCATAGGCCAAGTTGTGTGACCCTTCTCTGAGAGAAGCTTGATGTGCCTTAAATTCAGGTCAAAAAGAGTTTGGACTACAGCTGTCAAGACGAGCTCAGAAGTACTCCTTTTTCGTCAGTCTGTATTTTCAGATATAAGCTTTAGTGCTGTTGAATGAGATATTCTAACTTGCTAAAAAGAAGCTTGTTTTTCTAGCAAGCTTAATCTCTTAAGCAGCTCTGCAAAGCAGCTGGCTGGAACTGGGAGGACTAGCAGATACTGCAGCAGTAATATGATGCCATCTGGCACAAATGCCAGAGGAGGGTAGATGAAGGAAGTGTAACTACAAGCATGTTGGGGTACCACTCTGTGATAAAGATCTTTTGATGATTGTGGAACTCTATGCATCAACCACAGTTTAAGCAAAAATGTGGGAATATACAAAGAAGTGCATGTGAGGCTCCTTTCATGTCCAACTGAGATGACCTGCAAGAGAATTTGGTCTTTGTGGCAGGTTTGTGACATGAGAGGGACAAAAATTAGAGCTTGATGCTCCCCTGCAATATATACTCAATTTGGTGCCTCCTTGCTTCTTTCAGAGGAACACTGAAGTGTCACCTGCTAGGGGTTGAAGAGTTAAGGCTCCAAAGCTTATGTGCATTTGAATGACTCTTGTTTTGCTGGCAGTGCCATGTCTAGAAATCTGCATAGTCTCTATTATATTTGTTACTGGCAGAGGAGGAACAAACAGCATGGCGAGAAGTATCTTGATCAGAAATTCTGTCTTTGCTCCATTATTTTCAGAGGAGGAATAGATGAGAAATATCTTTTAGGCACCTTGCCCTGGATTTTTGCATACTTTCTGGAAAGAACATGTGTGATTTGTTCTCTTGGAGTGACTGTCATCTGCTACCAGAAGTCAAAAGTGGTAACCAGACCTACCTCACAACCAGCACTGCTGGGAATCAGCTGCATTACAGGGGTTGTCAGAGCAAGTTTAAGACAAAATGGAGATCTCATTCAAAGACAGAAATAACAGTGCAGTGCAAGTGATTAAACTGGCTAAGTTCTAGGGAAGCAGACTGATGAGGGCATGCATGAGAGGCACAGGCACGTCATCTCAGGGAGGAAAAGGTGGAGCTGGTCCAGTATCTCCCGAGCTTAAGTTTTTTATAGGACCACAAAGACCACAGCCCCATGGCTAGAAAGTTTTGTTACAATCAGCTTGGATGCATGGAGTGGTTGTGGCAGTCATCCAGACAAAAGGAGTGTTGGTAAAGCTCTAGTTAATTCTTTTAACAGATATGGACAGACTGGAAAACTTGGTGGTGAAAAACCACATGAAATTCAACAAGGCCAAGGGCAAGGCCCTGCACCCGGGGAGGAATAACCCCAGACACAGGCTGGGCACCAACCTTCTGGAGAGCAGCTCTGCAGAGAGGGACGTGGGTGTCATGGTGGACAACAAGTTGACCATGAGGCAGCAGGGTTACCTCATGGCCAAGAAGGCCAATGGGATCCTAGGAGGCTTTAAGAAGAGCATCTCCAGGAGGGCGAGGGAGGTGATCCTGTCCCTCTACTCAGCCCTGGTGAGGCCACATCTGGGGAACTGTGTCCAGCTCTGGGCTCCACAGTACAAGAGGGATGTGGAGCTGCTGGAACAGACAGAACTAGAGGAAACGGCCACAAAATGAAGCATCAAAAGTTCCACAGGAACTTAAGAAAAAATTTCTTAACAGTGAGGGTGACAGAGCATTGGAACAGGCTGCCCAGAGAGGTTGTGGTGTCTCCTTCTCTGGAGATCTTCAAAACCCACTTGGACGCAGTCCTGTGCCACGTGCTCTAGGTGACCCTGCGTGTGCTGGGGGGTTGGACTAGATGACCTCTAGAAGTCCCTTCCAACCTTGAGCATTCTATGATTCTATGATATTTATGGTTGGAAAATAATGTGTTATTCCCCCCACTTCCCTCCCCTCCAGCCCAACAACTGCTAGGAAAACAGAGATATCCATTTTAAGTGATTTTTAAGGACAAGCAAAGCTGTACTAGAAGTTTGGACACTTTGAGAAAACATTTCTTCAAGAGGCAATGCTTCTTAGCTCAACATTTTTTTAAAAAAAAACTTTGTAAGATGCCCTTTATATTTACACAGCTTTCAGTTTCAATCGCTGCTGACATGACCAGTCAACTAGTACTAACTGCATGAATTGCTATTAAGGGGTTGCTGCCCCTCTCCTTCCAGAGCTATGTAACATCTCTTTCTATTTATGTGATGGAAGACTTCCAGCACAAAGACATCCTCAGGCACAGTCTGAAGGGTTTAGCCTATGACACTCAAAACACACATAAGATGCTCTTGTATGCCTCAGAATTAGATTTCCCTTGGACAAAACAATTTCCTTGCTGAGACCGTAAGGTCAGAACTGATCATACAGTTACTTCCGTAGCACATAAGTTGTAATACAGAGAAAAAAAAATCTACAGCATCTTAAAGGCCAGCAGAATACATAGGTTGTGGAAAGCAAAAGCAGTGATGATAAGCCAGGAGAAGCAGGGGCCAGGTAAGCTCAGAGATTTCCTTCCATTCTGTCATTCACTTCTTCCCCAAGCCCTCCGCAGCGTTCTCCTCCAGCCCCTCACTACCCCTACCCCACGCTTCCCGGGAGCGAAGGGTCCACCGTTCCATCGAGGCAGTTGAGAGAAGATGGTGCTTGAGACCTGGAAGCTCTCTCTGCTCTGCTCTTTAGCCGTATCAAACCAAGCAGAGAAGAGCTGTTCTAGTCAATGGACAACCCTGAGTTGTCTTGTACAATTAAATCAAAGACAGGAGTTGAAGCGGCTCAGGCAGGGACAGGCAGGGTTAAGGAGCTAACAGGATGGCGGGTGCTGTGCAAATAATAAAACACCTGATCATTTATAACAACAACCTCTCTGCCCAGCAAAATGCTCTCTTAAGCCATATACGATGATTAATCATTCACTTTCGTAGTTCCATTTACGTAGGGAATGTTTTAGCTTATGCAGCAAATTACCACTATAGTTTATTTATTCAAAATAAGCTTTTGTCAGGAGCATTTCAGACACCTGAACAACTTGTTTAAGACTGCAACATAAATAAGACAAGATACCCAAGCTCTCTCCAAACATAGTAACCTAGGAAAACAATCGCTGATAACATACTTCATAAACTGCTACTTCTGCATGAAAGATACTAGGGGTTTTGAACGCAGCTATCAGCTCAGGTAGCCTGAAGAGTATCTGGCAATTACAGAATAACACCAGGCAAAAAATGAAAGACAAGAGCATTTGACATTATTCCAGGTTTCAACAGACTGTTCAAAAAAACTCACTTTATCTTCAAAAAAAAGCACTGCAGCTTTCCTAACGACCTTTTTCTGGAGTAACCCATGGGTCTCTTAAACCTGACTTGCAGAAAAATAATGATAAATTCACCTAAGTATTTCTACTGCAGTGAAGCAACCCTTCCTTCTGCCCTCCAGCAGCTAGATCCCTTTGTTGAACAGAGCAGAAGCACCTAAAGCAAATGATCTTCTCCACGTGGACTTTCCAAAGCCACTTCAATGTAAGGAGAGTCTTTCCTCCATTCATGTAGTATCATGTTCACAGGTGTAATGTGGTCAGTCAGCCCAGGGTCCCATATCTACTATCAGCAAGGAAGAAAGATACTTGTGTTACTACAGAATAGAAGGAAACCATTGAACGAGCAACCTACCTCTATCTGCTTATCCTTGAAGATGTTGTTGATGCCATTGTTAAAAGATGCTCCAGAAAACATGGATGTTATTGGATATGTCAAGTCTAGAATGGTCTTAAACACTGAATTCATATCCTAAAAGGAAGAGAAACATTTCAAAGGTAAGTATATTCAAGAACCCACACCCCTGTTTTTCATATGCAATTTCAGCCACATCATATATATTGCAGATTCTAGCAGCAAACACTGCTACTGGAGGCATAAAATTGTCAAGAGGACAGAAATGCAACCACAAAACCCACAATCAGCAACACCTTGTAGATCATCCTAAATTTAAAACAAAAAACAAACTTCCTACCAAACTGTAGTAAGGCTATGCAATAGTGAGCATTCACATTGCTTCATTCTTACTCTTGTAAGAAAACTTCCCTGTGAAATTTGCAGGCTGGGGACTGACCTTCTGGAGAGCAGCTCTGCAGAGAAAGACCTGGGTGTCATGGTGGACGACAAGTTGACCATGAGGCAGCAGTGTGCCCTCGTGGCCAAGAAGGCCAATGGGATCCTGGGGTGCATTAAGAAGAGCATCTCTAGCAGGTCGAGGGAGGTGATCCTGCCCCTCTACTCAGCCCTGGTGAGGCCACATCTGGAGTATTGTGCCCAGTTCTGGGCTCCACAGTACAAGAGGAATGTGGAGCTGCTGGAGAGAGTCCAGCACAGGGCTACAAGGATGATCAGGGGCCTGGAACATCTGCCCTACGAGGAGAGGCTGAGGGAGCTGGGCCTGTTCAGCCTAGAGAAGAGAAGGCTGGCAGGGGTTCTAATCAACGTCTGTAAGTACCTCAAGGGAGGCAATGAGGAGGATGGTACTGGCTTCTTTTCAGTGGTGGCCACAGACAGAACTAGAGGAAATGGCCACAAAATGAAGCATCAAAAGTTCCACATGAACTTAAGGAAAAATTTCTTAACAGTGAGGGTGACAGAGCACTGGAACAGGCTGCCCAGAGAGGTTGTGGAGTCTCCTTCTCTGGAGATCTTCAAAACCCGCTTAGACGCGGTCCTGTGCCACGTGCTCTAGGTGACCCTATGTGTGCAGGGGGGTTAGACTAGATGATCTCTGAAGGTCCCTTCCAAAGTTAACGATTATATGATTCTATCAAATACTGCATGTGGTCCCAGGTTTCTGCCTTAACAAATGCACATTAATTTATTTCTTGACATTTTAAAAATATACCCAAAGATACCAGGTATCCCCGTTTTATAATCCTGCCAAGTTGAAACTTCAGCACAGCTAATAAACTTTCACATTCTATGTGCAGTTTACCTTTGTGGAAATAAAATTACAAATCTGCAACCTAAGAACAGATGTTAAAAACAAGAGCAGATGTAAGATTTTTTCACATCAGGCCTCCTTTTTATCCCACACTTAAATCCTTTATCTGCCTTGGTGTAAGCACTTGGGGAAAACACATATGCGACCCTTCAGGACTACAAGAAGTTTAAGGAATTTTCACACTTCGAAGAGCCTCATTCTCTATATATATTGAATTATTTTCCACGCCGAAGCCCATTACTGGGTTCTTGTTGGTTGGTAGTTGGAATTTAGGTACTCAAGTGGGCATTCTTTATAAATTAGATTAAAATAAATAATTCACATGATGTTTCCTAAAGCAATCTAGATATCTATTAGATTACATAACAGCAAGCAGGTGCTGCCAAATGTAACATCCATGTACTGTACTTTGGCTTTCATGGGTTCTTTTTGCCCTTCCAGGTGTATTACATCTTTGCACTAACCTACAAGGTAGAAACAAACAAACAAAATATATGGACTAACCTGATAGCCCAAGCAGCATTACAGCCACTGTTAATTGTTCCATAATCACGGTACTCATCTCAGTAATTAAAAATCCCCAATGAAATTTAATGCCTGAATATATTGCATCATAGTCAATTAAAATACAAATTAAAATCAAAAGTAAACAGGATTTTATTAGACAAAATACACCTATGAGTTGAAATACTTTCTCTCTATATACAGGCTCTTTTTTTAAGCAGATGGACACCTTGGCAGACAACACGGTGCCGTTTGCTGCTGCAGGACAGGGCCCCTAAAACTGCAGCCTATTAAAGTATCAGTGACCAACATCTGCCCGTGGCTTCATTCTAGAGCGGATTTAAGGCACAGCTGGATTAGGCAACATTGCCAGGGCCAGCTGCGTTTCCACATGTTAGATACCTGCCCAGGCACCCCAAAAAGCTTTTAAAAAAGTCCATCCATGGGAAATGTGGCACGTACAAACCCGTCCGTTTCCTTCTGGCTCTCCTTTTCGACCCTGATGGATGCAGGCAGTATTGTCAGCCTAATTACCAGCGTGTTCCTCACAGCTTCTTTGAGTTAAGCAGAATCAGTTTCATACTTAAAGTGAGGATTTGGTCTCCAACAGTACTTAGGAGAGATTAATTCAAGGGAGTATGAATCTACAAAAATTCCATTTTTAAATGCTAAAGAAAGATCTCTCCAACTCAGCCCTGCACATCAATGATCTTTATAACACTGGACTCTACATCTTCCAGGCAATTAATGCCCATAGCAGCCTTACACATGAAATAAGGCCTTCTAATTAACGTCTGAGTTCCCAATATCCTCATTTCTCAGCTTTGGAAAATGCCCCTTTTGCGAATGCTGATGGCCAACAGCCTTCTGAGAACAGCCGCACTCCCCTCCCCTCCACCAGATAAACAGAACTGAAAAATCAAAGTTGCCCTTTGCAAAGGGAGCTGGATCCTCGTGACCGGTGCTGTCATCCGCCAGCACCAAGGGCAATGTCTTCGCCCCTGAGAAAAAGCAGCTTCTGGTCACCAAGAGCGATGCTGGTTCCGGCAGCGCAGAGCAGGTGTTTTGCAGTTCTTCGCAAGCATCTCCCACAACTTAATTGTTTACTCGGTTTTGCTGCAACATCAGCTTTCTTTTAATAAAGACCTTCAATAAAGTTATTTGTAGAAGCTATCCCACTGCATAATGTATTTTAAGCCAGGAAGGGATACGTATGTGGCAAGGGGCTATAGAGAAAATCAAGTTGCCATCATATTGCCCAGTTAGGGCCAATAAACCAAGGACATTCCCATGACTTTGCGATGCTCCCAAGTGCAAAAAAAAGGAGCCATCAAGGCTACAGGGAAAACTTTTTACAAGAAGAAAAGACTACAAGAGTTGTAGACAGATTAAACATTTTAGAAAGTACTAGAAACAGCATCCAGAACTGCCTTCAGAGCCATTTCAGTGCTCACATATGAAGTTTTAATGAACCAAGCAATGGAATTTACAATGAAAAATAAGCTAAAGACCAAATAAAGGCATAATTCACAGCGACAGTGTCAGATCAACAGCATTACAAGGATATATTTATCCCAAAAGCAAGATGCTGGAAGTTTAGGTTTGAAGATAAACTATTACAAAATATAAGAAATGAAGAAAAAAAGAATTAATACTTAGAACGTTAAGAAAGCTTGTCCATCTCTTAGAGTAATGTAAAGAATAGAGTAAGTAAATATACGTTTAATATCAGTTTCAGATATTTTCATCCATACCATTAGCTTGAGGTCTCCATAATCATTTGCTCACACAGTTGCTACAGGAGAGAAACATGGTGGTTTGGTGACTTAACAGGATGGTATGAAGCAATATACACATTTGGGTTTTGTGGGCAAATCATAATGTTTGGATTGGGGAAGCTTCAGCATAGATAATTATGAACTGTAAGCCCTATGTATACGGGAAAAGAGATTTTTACCAATACTTTTTGATACACCAATTTCATAGCTGGGTCTAGTTATAATAAATCTTAAAAATTACTTCCATTTCCTGTGATCACTAATCTCAAATACCAGGTTTAACCTTAAAGGCCACCAGAGGAAATACTTCAGCTGGTTTACATAAGGAACCAAACTTGGCCTGGTTTGATTTTTATAAGCAAGGAAATCTAAACAAATAAATAAACATAGGAAAAAAATAGATGGAGTTCATACGGCACAATTAAAAAGCCACAAGCACCAGCAGCACCTCGGCAAGCTCATGCAGTCCTGCAGCAGCCCCAGACTGGCAGGCACCTAAAGCAGCTACTCTGCTGTGCTTTATCGACTGCAGTTACAAGACAAAACAATTCCACCCTCACTTGCACATAGCCCATAATCAACCTGCAAATTCTTTAAGATCTGCAGCGCACTTTAACACTGCTTTTATATGATCGAGTAGGATGCAAAGCCCTTATAAAAGGCTGCAATTTCGCTTCCACTCTGATGTCCCCAGCAAGGGCATTGCTGGCAGCCCTGGCACGTGGCTGTTGCCCGTCCTTGCTAACCTTGGCCTTCACCTGGCACAGCGGCCCATGCTGCCTCCCGCGCTCCTCCTCAGCCCGCGGCCACAAGCCGTCTGCAGCCCAGCCCTGCAGCACTGGCTTAGGCAGAGCCCTGCAAGGGCAGATGGCAGCTCTCTTCTCCAGATGCCCTGTGTAACGGCTCAAGAAGGGTCCTGGGACACGGTTTGCCAGCAGCAGGATCCCAACTGGGGCACAGCTCATGATTCTGCCTTCGGCCTTCCCGTGCTGCACAGCAACCTTTGCAGCCATCAGCTCAAGTAGCCAAGTTGGCCAGAAAGAAAAGCATGGCCAAGAAAAATGTGGCTAGATCAGCTCTTTGAGACAGGGTATGCCCCACTCCAGACGTCCTACAGCCATTTCCACTCTTTGTGCTTTGCTGTTTAACCACGGGCACAGAAAGAGCAATGGCAGCAGGTAGTGACTAACCCAGCTGCTTACTTCCCTTTGCACCGCAACAAATCCAAGTAATTTGTTTCTTGGCTGCCTGGTTAGCTCCAGAAATCACATCGAATTACAAACATCCTTTCCCCTGTCCTCAAGTATACGGCTATAGAGATGCCCAATTCTAAAAATACCTGAAAGAGAAAATGCCTGCAGGACAAAACCACCATTTATTCTGGTGGTTAAAAACAAACCACACTTATCTAACCTATCACAATGGTGACATTTCAAAACCCAGCACACCCGTAGGGAAGGAGCACGCGGCTGCAAGGTTTAGAGCAAAGAGCACTCGACAATATCCATCACTAGCACAGGGCAATGAGCACGAGAGCAGCTGAATGGTGGAGCCCGCAGCATGCAGCACACTGCTGTTCTTGCATAGCGCTGGCTTCGTGGAAGACGCCCCTCAAAGCATCTTCTGCAGCAGCCCAGCAGGTACTTGCTGGACCAATTCTCCTTGGCAAGGCTGTTTTTACATAAATAAATAAATAGAATAATAAAAGAAAACAGCACAAACTGTCCCTTGAGCTTTGGACACTGGGGTGGAACTGCTACGTTCATCGCTCAGAGCAACAGCCTCTCATATGTCTGGTTATTTCTGATGGTTTTTCTGTGAACATCTAGCAATGTCACTTGCTGCTATTAGGGTGCTGACGCTTGGTGAGTGGAGCCACCCTCCTTGCTCCAGTGACAGCTGCTGTAACATCGGTCAATGGAAAATAACATGGAACAGCCAACGTTGAAGAGATTTATAACCCCTTAAAGTATCTTGTGCTTCAGCCAAGACGCTGGGCTTGGAGAGAAGGTTTCCATCGTTCTCCTCAGATTAAAATGCATTTGCCTGCACCAGGCCTCAGAGCACATCATTAAAAGTGAAAAGGGTTTCAAACAAAGCAGGAATTTTTGGTTTGTTTTTGGAGGAGGGAAGAGATATTGTTTGTTCCTTGTTTTAACCTTTCATGTATTTTGACTGGTCGCTCCCAGATGCTTGAACAGTTTCTGGTTTAGATGTGAACCTGGCAAGTTTGTCAGCATAATCATTAGAACCTCATGTAAATCCATTCTTCATGAGAAAGATGAAATCTTTGCTCCAAGAGGCTGGAGAAGTGAATGATCGTTTCCCCCATGGATTTCAAGATACAAATACCTGTGCAGTCTGAGCAGAGAGCCTGGGCCAGAGCCCATCCTTTGGGAAAGCGACTTTGAGCCCAGAACCTAAGCAGCACACTAGATTAGTTTGTTTCCTCTTTAATTATTGATGGCAAGGCTGGGGCGGTGAGCTCACGAGCAGCCGTCACGGGCTTCCCGACTCCACATCTCCACGCGTGCAGAGCGGACTAATCCCGTTTTTCCAAAGAAAGACACAAAAGAAGATAAATCTCTGGACAAATGTAGGGAGCAAAATGCCATTATTCCAAACTACCTATTAAATACAAGAGGAATTAAGAGAAGGTAATGAACCACAAATTGCTGGGGGCTAGGAAGACATGACATGGAGGAATTGCCACATGCTTGCTCTGCTGCAATGACATCCTGTAGGCATTTGAGAGTGACCAGTGCAGGAGACAAGAGCCTGAGGCTAAGCTGATCTCTGATACAACTAAGCAGAATTCTTATATCCTTAACCTCGGCTTCCCTCAACACCCTTCCATTTTCTCTGTACAGCAAGAGAGAGGTTCAAGGTGCTTCTCAACACAGTCAGGCAGGTTCCTATCCCCCCTAAAAGCAAAAATGCCAGCAAAGCCAGAGCTCCCTGCAGCTTGGAAAGCTCTTCTTGTTGCTTACCTTCCACAAGAAAATACAACATGGAAACTTAGTTTTCATATAAGCAACATAAAAGTTAATTCACATTTGAACTGGTGTCTTCCAGATATGACGTTAACCTTCACCGTCAATCCATTTTAACTAGTGTAACTTGGCAATAGTACCATTTTCCCCTAACACCCTGTCAATAAGTGAATTCACACCAAATCTAGAAGTCGCTGTTTAAAACAATCTTCCCAAACCTCAGTTCAACTAATAATATAGTTTTGCATGTATGATGCATTCAAGTTAAAAATTTCTCCTGACTGAGAGCACTGACACTGCAATTCTCAGGCCCCACTGTGAATTAAACATTTTGATCTTATTTAATTTAGAGAAGAATTACCTCTGTCAATCAGTTCCACTGAAAAATGACAGCATGTGAGAACGAAAGAGAGAAAATTATACAAAAGAGAAACACATTTGTTGAGAGTTGGAAAGGAAGCGGATTCCAGCACACAAAAAGAAACAAGGACAAACATGGGCTAACACACTGCAACAATATAATTCTCAGACTGTGACTGGAGCTTGAGTAGGAAGGGAAGAAAATAAATAAAAAACTAACTAAAAGCATCAGTCTTCTTGTCCTCCTCAGGAGCACGCATTGTCACAGCTTGCCAGTATGATGATGATGAAGAGTTTTTTAAAATTTACTTCCTTTATGCCAGGCAGGGGCCCCATTTGACAGACACAGAGGGCGGCAGCACTTTCCTTGGACAGAGACAGGTGCCCTGCTCTGTGCCCCAGCATTGTGTGGAAGCTCTTGCACTCCATCTGAGAGCAGAAACACAGCAACTTAAGTTCTTACCATGGCCCACTGACGAGCTTTGATCCTCATCTGATTGTAGCTTCGCTCTTCAGCATACAAGGCGCTCATGAATGCTCCAATCGAGGTTCCTCCAATCATATCTACAGGGATGCCAGCTTCAATCAGCGCTCTGATAACTCCCACCTGGGAGCAGCCCCTGTGCCAAGCAGAGAAGACCGACAAGACGTTATCAGATAAACAGCCACTGAAAGGACAAAACACAGGAACGCTGTTTGCTGTTTTCTAGAAGAACTCAACTGTGGACAGGTTCAGCTGCCAATCTGCAGCTAAACAAGCATCAACAGTGGGAAAAAAAAAAAAGTTTTGTGAAATTCATGCAATAAAGATCTTCAGAAATATTTCTTGAAGAGTCTAGGAAATACAGACCACCTAGTCTACCTTCAGTGAAAGGCAGCTGGATACAACTGCAGCAGCCAAGAACCAAATAGTGATGAGGGAAAGTCCTACCAGGGAAGAGCATGGTTTTGCCCATCAATAACCTACTAGGAGTCAAAGACCATGGGATAAGCAAGAATCAGTGACACTCACCCACACAGAGATTTCAAACACCTTTCAGCAAGATTATTTTCCAATGATACTTCAAGAAACTCATCCATCCTGGGATAACACGACAGGTCATCCCACAGATTAAGAAGGATTTCAAAAATGGAAAACAAAAAACAAAAGACAGAAAGAAAAAACTTGAAAAAGATTAGGGCAGATGAAGGAGTAGTATTTGAGCACGACACAAATTCCTTCAGTTAAGTCAAGTCTGCAAGATTCCTTGAGTACAAGAGCTGCAGAACGATCTCACAGCAGCAGGAGTCAGGTGATAAAACAACAAATGAAACTCAGTGCTGACAAGACAAGGGAAGACCAGAGTCACAATGCCCATGTGTTGGTGATTTTGGAACTGCTCTGAAAAATACTAACTTGTTGGTCAGTGGCATATTAAAAGGCAAATCAAAGAAACCTGAATCAAACCTAAGACACAAGAACTTAAATCCAGAATGTACCTGCATCCTGAGAGCCACCAGCAAGCTCAGACTTCTGTTCTACTCTATTCTTTTAGGGTTGAGAAGGGACAGAAAGACGTGATGGGTAGAACACTGGTAGAAACACGTGATCTGAACCAGCCTGGTGGGTCTTACAAACAACTCTGCCTCAATGGGAGAGGGATCCCTGCCCACCCTGCAGAATCATTACCTAAAAAGAGGAGTTAGAAATGGAGGTCAATCGCTTTCTTATCTGTGCAAAATTACAGCTTCCAGTTTCAAATGTTTTGTCCAAGAAACACCAAGGATGTTACTTCACCTGGAGGGATGTTTTGCAGTCTGAGGCATACAGCTGTAAAGCCTTCCTTGCCCCATTTTATCCATTCTTCTGTCACTCCTTAGTTTGGTCTATTTACATCCTCTTTCCCCTTGCTGCTTACATGCTGTAAATACTTGCTAGCAGCTGTCAAGTCTACCATAGGTGTCATTTGGCCAAGATATGCTGAGCACATTCTTTCCATCCAAGCAAATCCCCTCCAGCTGCTGAAATGCTTTGAGACGGGTTCTCATTGAAGTCATTTACACCAATATAACTGACAGATCTGCACTGGTGAAATCAAAGAGCAGAAAGGGGCTCACTTAGTTTTCCCCTCAAAATTCTCCATCTCCTGCTCTACTACTGCTTCTTTTCTTAAGGTGCCTAAGTTGCCAGTGGATGCTACTGTTTTTAGGACTCTAGATGATAACTATCACCAAGATCTGCTTCTGCTTGGTGCTCACGTGTGCTTTATCTCCATGTCCAAGTCATTAGCTGACACTGATTCTACTGACGGACAGACCTCGCACTAAAACTTGCTTTCTGGAGAAAGCCTGCCTCATACGGATCCATTAAGACAAGTCAAGCGCTTTAAAGCATTTCATTTCTTGGAGGGCAGTTTTCAAATGCCCAGTAGCAGCTTGACCCCCTTTAACCAGATTCCGGCATTCATATTTCCATAAAATCAAGGGATTTGACGTGGTCACTCTGGATTTGTTTCTACTTTACTGTACGAGGCCCTCTGATAAACAAAGACCACTACTTCTGCTGGCAGGCCATCGCCTCTATTCCCTGCATTGGCCAAGTCCCTCACAATGATACTTCCTTCAGCAGAACATTAACAGCAACATTACTCCGTAAGATGTATCGATTTCCGAGCACTGACCTATAGGATGGGAATGAAAGCGCTTTTCTTGCTCTCAAAGGGATCTGCTATCAACTGCAAGATTAAGTCGTGTATCATTTATACAAAACTATAAAGCTGATGGCTCCTCCTCCAGCATCCTGACCAGTTTCACGATTGAATGTGCAATCTAAAGTCCTGAGAAAAGGCAAGTGTTCATGAATCCCTTCCACTTCCCCAAGGGTCAACCAATGCCCCAAGGAGCATTCGGCGCACGCAAACGCGGGCACGCTGCCGAGGGCAGCTGCATGCTGCGGCGGGTGGCTCGCCAGCGGCACGAATCCCGCTTGCCGACTGCTCGCCCGGGCCTCCTGTGCGGCCAGTGCGGGCTTGTGCTACAGCAGATGAGAAAAGAAATTCAAGGTGGGAGCTAGGCCCCCTGCACACAGCCAGAACAGAGACCAGGCCCCAGCCAAGAGAAAACAGATCGCAAGCCTCTTGCAACACCAGGCCCGTTTTCACAGGACATCCGTCTCCTTTTAGGGCAACAACTGAGAATCATACAATCACAGAATGCTTAAGATTGGAAGGGACCTCTAGAGGTCATCTAGTCCAACCCCCCTGCACACGCAGGGTCACCTAGAGCACGTGGCAAAGGACTGCATCCAAGCGAGTTGTGAAGATCTCCAGAGAAGGAGACTGCACAACCTCTCTGGGCAGCCTGTTCCAGTGCTCTGTCACCCTCCTGTTAACAATTTTTTCATAAGTTCCTGTGGAACTTTTGGTGTTTCAGTTTCCAGCCGTTTCTTCTAGTTCTGTCGGTGGCCACCACTGAAAAGAGGCCAGAGCAGCGTTCGGCATGTGGAGCATGCAGGAAGACGGCTTGTGACGACGCTGTGTGTATACATCAGCACCGGGGTGCTCTTAGGGTCAATGGAGGAAAGGACTGAGAAATCCTTGATTATCTGGCTGACGCAGGAGCCAAGCATCAGTTGCCTGGCAAGTTGCATAGGCAAGGAGGCACAGGGGAGTCCACCTGGAAATCAGGATGCCACCCGCACGCTTCTGGCCTGGAGCTGCGCACGCAGCTGGCCCTTGCCTAAGGCAGGCTGCAGGTGTGGCTGGATGGGACACTTCCTCTGGCAGGATTAACCCCTCAGCGCTGCTGGTACCAAGGCCAAATGGCCAAGATTATTTTTAAAAAATTTGCTACCTGAGTCCCAAAGGTCCGGCCTCTGCTCAAGTGCAGAGTCTATATATAAACTCTTCTTTTCCATCGTATTTCACTCCCTAGGCCAGCCCTGGGTACAGTCCTTCAATTAAGAAAGTAGAAATTGCATCAGTTAGTGGAGGAGGCACTGGGACAAGAGTCCCATCTCATTTCCATTGCTATAGATATAGTCCAGTCTGGGAGAGCACAGAAAGGCTTGCAGGAAAACTCCTGCTCCTGAAACAAGCTCTTCCTTTCATCCCCAGTGGAAACGCTGCTGGCACACGGCTCTGATGCACAAAGACCAGACTCAGCGGATAAAGGAGAAACTCTGACAGGAGGAGCCCATGTGCCTTTTCAGCATGTACCTGTTGGTGCTCAGATTAGACGCAACTTACTGGAAACACGAGGAATGCAGCTGGACACTTTGGATTAAACAATCAGTGGGAATGCACATTGAGGTCAGGAGGACTGAGGAAAACACAGTTAATACAGAGCAGCGATACTGCTCCAAGATTTTCTCCTCCAGTGCTGTTTAACCTCTCAAGAGGTTGCTGCCTGTCAGCACTGGGAAGAAGAAACGCAGCTCTGCAAGCGCCTGCCACACGTGGAGGGACCTTCATCTGTCAGACCATGAGCAACGGAGCAGCAAGGCAGGGATACAGCTTCAGCACTTTCAATGTCTACTTCAGTTTGAGGAGGGAGGAGAAAATAGGGCTCAGGTGTTCAGTTTCATAGCATTTCTCACTGCTCCTAATAGACTCATCAGGATGAAGACAGTAACTCTGAGGCAAAAAGGTGCTGTTTCCTTTTGGTAAAAAGCAGAATCAAGGTCACAACTGAGCAGAGCCCTGCTGGCTCAAAACAGAAGTCTCCCTGCGATCAGGCACTTGCTGCTGCCCCAGTTTCCAGAGGTAACGACGTGGCAGAGGAGGCAGAAAAACAGAGCAACTGCTCTGAGGACTTCACGAAGCTGCACTGTCTCCTCAAATATGCAAATCAAGTCTCTTTCAAAACCCTAAAATTCCTGAAGAAGCAGAGGTATAAAATAAGACCCACTCTGTCTTCATAACCCAGACACCAGTCCAGGCTGGGGACCAACCTGGAGAGCAGCTCTGCAGAGAAAGACCTGGGCGTCATGGTGGACGACAAGGTGACCATGAGGCAGTAGTTGCGCTCGTGGCCAAGAAGGCCAGTGGCATCCTGGGGTGCATTAAGAGGAGCATCTCCACGAGGTCGAGGGAGGTGATCCTACCCCTCTGCTCAGCCTGGAGAAGAGAAGACTGAGAGGGGATCTAAACAGTGTCTATAAGTACCTCAAGGGAGGCACTGAGGAGGATGGTGCTGGCCTCTTTTCAGTGGTGGCCACAGACAGAACTAGAGGAAACGGCTACAAAATGAAGCATCAAACGTTCCACAGGAACTTAAGAAAAAATTTCTTAACAGTGAGGGTGACAGAGCACTGGAACAGGCTGCCCGGAGAGATTGTGAAGTCTCCTTCTCTGGAGAACTTCAAAACCCGCTTGGACGCAGTCCTGTGCCACGTGCTCTAGGTGACCCTGCGTGTGCTGAGGGGTTGGACTAGATGACCTCTAGAAGTCCCTTCCAACCTTGAGCATTCTACGATTCTATGATAACAGCTTGGCTGAAGGCACATTACGAGCAGCAATCAGATCAGCCACTTATGTGCTTATGCACTGTGCATAAGCACAGATGATATATGTATATATTTACTAGCTCCATTTTCAGAGATGTGCCGGACTGGTATATCCGTCATCACTTTGCTCAACAT